CTCACCGGAAGCACTTTTTCATCAAAAAAAGATGGCAGCGCCAGCAAGCCAGCGGCCTGGTAGGACTTGTTCCGCGGACCGGTACCGGTCCGCGGACCGGTGGTTGGGGACCCCTGGTCTAGATGAAACTTGGGACATTGTGTCTGCAGTGTTTGAATGCAAACCAAAGCAGGAATTGAGTCTGGAAGCTCTGAAAGCAAGCCTGATAGCTGAAGAGCAGAAATGCCATTATAGAAAAAGCCTCAAGGAGGAGAAATCCCTGAGGAGGGGACCCAAGGAGCAGAATGGAAAATTCCACAGACTGGCTGTCTCCAGAGAAGAAAAGAGCAGCAGGGGATATCAGATTACAATCCAGCAACAGAGACATCTCACTTAAAAACAGACTGTTTGTTGCAAGACAGAAAAAGTTTGCAAGGACGGGTTGATGGACAGATTACTGTTGCAAAAGCTTGCAATAGTAATGGAAGAGATCAATGGCTTATTGACAGTGGGGCTAGCCAAATGCTTATTAATAATGCTAAATTGTTTTACAGGATGGATGCAGCTGCAGGAGACACAGTAACCTTGGCAAATGGCAAGAAGGCTAAAGTCATTGGAAGAGGCAGTGTGCAAATTCCATATTTGGAAACAAGGTTTTATGTTTTATGTGTGCCAGAAATGAAACTAGTGTCTCTAGTTTAGACAAGCAAGGATTTGAAACCACATTTGTAAATGGGCAGTGTCTTATAAAGAAAAATGGAATTGTATGTGCAAAGGGCATAAAGCATGATAACCTTTATATGTTACAGGGACAAAAAGTTCAATGTGCACAAACATTTGGCAATGTTGCAAAACATGATTCATGTGTTCATCTTTTGCACAGAAAACTTGGTCATACCAATTTTAAAATTGTTCAAAAGATGAATCAGTATGCAGAAGGATTGCATGTAAAGGGATGTAAGGCATATTTGGATTGTGCAATATGCAAAACATCAAAGTCCAATGCATTCCCAGTAAGCAAGAGTAGCACAAGGCAGACAACAAGAGCTCTGGAGCTGGTACATGCAGATTTGGTGGGCCCAATGCAAGCCAGTTTGGGAGGAGCTAAGTATGCACTGGTCCTTGTAGATGGTTTAGGTTCTGCTGTTTACTAAAGAGTAAAACAGAAGTGCTACACAAATTTAAGCAATGGGTAAGCTTTGTAGAAAAAAGGTATAAACAGCAGGTATGTCAGCTGCAAACTGACAGAGGTTCAGAATTCATGTCAACAAGTGGTTGGCACAATTAGGATTAAATCCTTACACAGCAGCTGAGAATGGTGTTGCTGAGAGACGGAATGGAGTCTTGCAAACCATGAAGGACTCACTGCTAGAGGATTCTGGTCTAAGCAGGTCATATTGGGGTGAAGCCATATTGACTGCTAACTATTTAGTTAATAGGTTGTAGAGTTCCTCCATTAATGATACTCCATATGCAGTGCTATATGGGAGAAAACCATATCTAGCACATTTAAGGGTGTTTGGAAGCAATGTGTGGGTGGCATATTCCAAAAGGCAATTAGAAGAAAGGGGCAACCAAACGCTAGAAAGCTCAGGTTTGTGGGCTGTGAGCCAGGCTCAAAAAGTTATCACTTTAGTGATGGGAGCAAAAGAATATTTTCAAGGTCTGCAAGCTTTGCAGAACAAAATTGGAACAGAATTGATGCAAATTTGTGGAATGATTCACTTAGTGATGGTGATCCACTTAGTGATGGTAACTCACTTAGTGATGGTGTCAGCGTTCAGGGAGGAGAAACTGAACAAGATATGAAGCAAGAGAGGGTTGACACACAGGAGCAGTCAGTGCCACGCAGGTCAGAGTGATGGAACAAGGGGATTACACCTGATAGGAATTCTGCTAGTAAAGTTAAAGTGCGTAATGTATGGTATGAGCCAAGGAATTACAAAGAAGTATTGGCATTACCTAAAATTGAACAAGTAAAGTGGAAAGAAGCCATGGACAAGGAAATGAAATCCATGAGAGAACATGAAGTGTTCTCATCTATGACTTTGCCACGGGGTAGCTAAGTTGTAGGATGCAAGTGGGTGTACAAGAAAAAGATACTACCCAATAATGAAGTACAATATAAAGCAAGGTTAGTGAGGGGTTTTTAGGGGTTTTCACAAATGAAAAATGTGCACTATGGTGAGGTTTTTGCGCCAACTGTAAAGAGTGAGAGCATCAGGCTGGCGCTAGTGTTGGCAGTGGCACATGGCCATAAAATTTGGCATTTTGACATAACCACTGCATTTCTCAATGCAGAATTAGAGGAAGAAATTTACATGGTTCAAGCACCAGGGTATGAAAGCAAAAAGTCTAACATAGTATATAAATTGAACAAGGCCATTTATTGGCTGAAGCAGTCAGCCAGGATTTGGAATATCTGTTTAGATACTGCATTGAAAGGTCTTGGGTTCAAGAGTTGCAAGGCTGATAGTTGCATATCCACTGGAAAGTTAAAAGGTGGGGATCAATGGAATTGTATTGGATAGGTATAAAAATGAATTCTCAAGATATTTGGAGGGAATTGTGAATGTGGGTCTTCAAATATAGGTATCTGAAGAATATTAAAGGTAATTGAATTTATGTCTATTCCAGTTATGAAGGGAGGAGTGTCATGAACTGGAATAGAGCTTGGTAACAAGGTCAGCCAATGAACAGGCATAGCAACTGAATCAGCCAATGAGGACTGTTTTGGAAACTGAAACTAGAAGTAGCCTAGGCTGGAAACTGAAACTAAAAGTAGTGTAGGTGTGGCTCTATGTTAAGCTCTGCAACTCTGCAGCTATGTTGAGCTCTGAGTGTGCCTATTGAAGATGAAACTAACTTGCTTGCTTGCTGAAGACTGGAGCTCTGCTCTGAACTTGCAACATGTTTCTGTTTGAGTTTGCTCCATGTTGGAGAAATCTACAACTGGTTTGTAAAATCTACATATGTTTATAAAGATGTTAAATGAAACACCAGCCATCTGTGTTTATTTTTCTGGTGCTGAATTATCGCTGAAAAACTCTCAAAACTACTCTGTTGCAAGGAGGAAGAATCCTGAAAGTCAATGTGTTGGTGGACTTAAGGTATATAAAGGAAGAGTAAAGAAGGGGAGGTTTTCGATCAGTCTCAAGCCATCCCTCTTGACAACTTGTCTGATTGACCCTCATTGCAATGTGGCTACTGTAAGTGATTTTATGTTTGCTATGCTTTAATTCTAATAAACCTCTGAATCCTAAAGTGAGACCTTTTGTGGTGTGCTGTCTGTTCAATTGTTATTAAGTGCAGCTATACTCATAATCAGGTTTCCCCCTGACAATACTCAATAATAGACTTAACACAGTTTTAATTTTTTTTTAAAAAAACCTCCCCCAACATAGATAGGTTTTCTCCCAAACATGAACACCTAAAAACTCCTGGAACCCACTTATGCATGGCGATTCATCATTTTTTCCTCTGCAGCTAATGGACATTAAAATATGCTCACTCTTGGTACAATAGAATATGTTGGTTCTTTACATGCATGCATCTGCCCTAAATAAAAATATGCAATCCTAACAGATTCCATCACAGAATATCACAGAATATCAAATAGTTGAATCTATAGAACTCACTTACATGAAGAGCAAAGTCCCTCACTAAAATCAGATTTTGGAACTGAGGTTTAAAATTGAGATGTATTAGAATTTGAGCAGCTTATTTGCAAATTGAACTGATATTTAGATTTTTCAATTAATTTGAAATATTTATTTCTATTAGTTAAAGTGTTATTTTGAAAGACTTCCATAATATTATGCAGCATCATTAGGAGAATATAAAGCTGTGAAGAGTTTAACTCAAACTGGCTGAGGATAAATAAACATAAAAATAAAGTTTTCTTTAAAAGTAGCACTAGACTTTAACTTTAATTCTTTTTTAAAAAAGAAAGTTTTTTAAAAATGAAAATCTATTTATTTCATCGTTTAAAGATCACAAACCTTCAGTCTGCGATCTTGGTCACCGCTGCAAAGGGAATTTACAGACACCTTAAATGCCTTCCAAGCTGGATTTAAGTTATTCATCACCACCTAGAAATTAAAGGAAAAGAATAGGTTTATTTCAACCTAAAATGCAAAGCTATAATAATGATTTTAAAATAGCCCTTTTTTACAAATACATTTTTAAATTGGCAAGAATAATGAAGCTTTACAAATAATTAAGCATGGTATCTTTGCCTACACTTTTTGATATACTTTTTGAATGTTGTTTTCTTGCCAATACAGAACATGCTTCATAAGTAATGGCTTTCACATTTGAGGTTTTTTGCAGGGTTTTTTGTTTTTTGGCCATTAGGCTCCTTTCCAAAGCCCTTTAAAATCATTGGGAATTTTTTTTTAACTGATTTCCTTTGCTGTGGATGAAGCAAAAATAAAGAATACTGAATGAGAAAACAGGGGCTCTGCTATATACATTTGATTAAAAAGTAAATATAAATAAATAAAATATTGAAAAAAGATATTAAAATAATAAAACTTTAAGAGCAGGGAAACGAGATTCACTCCAGAATGAAGAGAAGTACTGGGAAGAAATTCATTCTCTTTATATCAAGTTTATAACTTGTTGGTGCATCTTACATCCCACTGATAAAGCTTAGATGATTGCAATATTGGGAACACTCTGATGTAAGAAAACTAAGTAATGAACTGAAGAACATTAAGAAAGATGTGGGAAACTTGGAAATATATCCCAATAAAGCAGGATAAACAATTTTTTTGTGGTTGTGGACACAGCTTTTTAAAATTTCCATTAGCCACAGAAGACATGACAGCAATGCATTTATATCATGGGGGATCTGAAATTTTAAATCACTAAATCTTTTGGAGGAGTTAATGTTTTTTTTTTAAAGATGCATTTTAAAGATTTATTTTATCCACCCTCTTTTCTCCTCTCACTAAAATTTAAGCAGTCTAAGATGAATATTTTGCCACTATATTTTAACAGCACATTTCTGGGACCTTCTGGAGGCCATAAAAATGGGGCTGAAGAATTGCATGGAGTGTTTAGTCTGGGAAAGATATAGTTAAAGGTCATAATTATTTGAAAATATATATCATGATGTCACAATTATATTATTCCAAAGAATCCAAACTACAATGCAGATTCTAAGCACAAGGAAAATAACTTAGATTAAATGTTAGAACAAGCATTCTGCTGGAAAACATTGTCTTAGAAAGTCTCCTTCTATTACACATTCGCAAGCAACCTACTGACTGCCATTTCCATAATGATTTTCTCTCATTCTCTTTGTCAACACTTAAGAAAATTCAGAATAAATATAGGTATTTCCCACATGTTCTATTTTTGTCATATGATTTCATATTCAAACACTGCTGGAATATTCAAGGATGTGTCCAATGAGAATGTTAACAGAACAGCATTATCAAAATAAAACAGTTGAAATAAGTTATAGAACCAACAGTGCTTGGCAAGCAATTGTTTTAAGAGTGGGAGCTGTCTCCACTTTTCCTTCTTGGGTCAGCTAAGGGAACAAAGAGGAAATGTTAGTTAGCAAACTATATTTATGGAGAGAACCTAAGGAAATGAATTCCTCCCAATATCATAATAAGAAGATGGCATGCTCAGTAGCCATAGACTGTCTTTGGATAAAAGATTAGAAGTGGGAATAAAATGGGTCAATTTTTATTATACAAAGCTATCTTGTAACATATATGTCTTTCCAGTTGGCATTTTGGGTTTTCCAAATGAGAGTGAGAACATCCTCAGCTGATCACTGTTCCAATAGTTTTCTTTCTGTTTAGACTGAAACAACCACTTTTCTGCTTAAATAATAAGTTTCCAGAGAGAAGATTTTGCTACAATAAATCTCTTTAATGATGTGCTAGAAATATTTTTTTCCAGAGCACTGCTAGCAACATTTACACTAGTATGGAATTAATATTGCGATCACAAATATAGTGTACAATACTCTGATCTTATCAGTGGACACGGAGACATTGATACAAGGAATGATTACACTTTTTAGCTATTTTATAATTCCTTGATTTTCATTCATGGAATCATTTTAGCAGAAAATGAGGAGAAAAAACAAATCAATTACAATGTGCTGTTTGACTATCCAAAGTATGCATGCAATCCAAGTACAATTACATTTTCCATAACACTTGCACCATTTGTGAATTTTTCCAGATAGTATTTAAATGATTATTTATTCCTTGGATATTGAAGTACTTGCTCATTATGCTATTCATGCAAAAAATGGCACAGCACAACACCAAAGCTTCCCACTCCAGTAAAAAGCAGGCTTTCACAATCCCTTTTGCTTTTAAAAGTGTGAAGAACCCACCACTATTGTGTTATTTGTATGGTTGGTTTTTGAGTATACATTTATATATCTGCAACCAGAGGGAATGAATAGGAATTGCACTCTAGGGGAGACCTAATACATTGCTTTTTATTCTGGTTATAATCTACATTAGTGCTTCTCAGTTTTGGCAACGTTAAATGTGTGAACTTCATCTCCTAGCTTTCTCTACTCTATCCTGGCTGGGGAATTCTTGAAATTAAGAAGCCCACACATCTTAAAATTGCAAGATTGAGAAACATTGATCTAGATCAAGGCCCACAATTAGCAAGAGGGTGAGCTTCCATTTGTTTCAATATAAATTTCCCATCCATGAAAATAGCAAGTGTGAGGATCTGATGATTTATAACTGCCTCGGCATCGAATAGTCCAGCATGAAGAGGAGAAATTAAGTTAAGATTGTAACAATGACAAAGAATGGAACTGAAATATATCTTGCTGTTTTCCTAGTACGCAACCAAGCTTTTCTTAAATTTAGTAAGATTATCACTCTTCAGTTATACCCTAGAAACAGGATATATAATATTTATAATATAGCACTTTTTGAAGGCCTAAATGTCTGCTGTAGCATCACAGACAAGAATCACATAATTCAGTGGCGGTATTAAAAAAAGAGCAGTACAAGTAGAACAATATCCTCAAAAGAAATTGTGAATTTACAAATAAACATTTTATTTAGGTGAGTATGTTTGTGTATGTAGATGATATTTCTCAACTTACCTCGGTCCTATGAACAAGCTGTTGGGTTGCATCATCATTCATTCGGAAGATTTCCAGAAAGGGATCAGATTTGCTGAAGAAATCCTGAAATGGAAAACATGGCACTTTTTTATGGTCAAAACTCTTGGATTGTTTCACACAATCTTATTTGCTTAACTACTGAATAGGGAAAAAGGAGTGAAGAATTCAGTAAAGCAGCTAAGAGAATTAACAATAAGTCATCTTGGAGCTGAAAAAAGCTCAAGCTCTTGTCTGCTGAAACAGGCTGGTTATTAGGACCCTGTCTTCCTCGGCGCTCTTTTGGTCTTTTTCTTCCTTTGCTGATTCATCCTCGGCTGTAGTTCAAGCAACCTTTTCTTCAAACCAACCAACACAGATATCAAGTTGCCACTGCAAACAAACTGCAAAGAACCTTCTTCGACCACATTCAAACTTTTTCAGGAGAGAAAAGGAAAGAGATTCTTACATGCACAATTCAAGAGGCACCACCTGGAAGGAAGCTTCCCTGGAGAGCAGCAGGCAAATAGGCTCTCTGCTTAACTAAGATTAAATTAGCCTATTCTAATTATTACCTGCTTTTAAGGCTATTTTTCTATCATATCTTAGTGTTCAAATTTTTATTTATTTTTTAACCCTTTACATTTTTGAAAGTTTTGCAGTGTGATTACTAATTCACTTTTAGTTATATTTCAGCTATGGTTTAGCTGAATTTATAAAAAAAAGCCCGAGCTGGGCCTCAGCTTTAGGAGGGCCTTGCTGCTGCTTCTTTGTTTTGTTGTTCTACACATCTTACTCCTTCAGCTGGAAGTCTAGCAATGCCTAGCTTTGATGTGATTTCTCTTATCTAATTTATTCTATTTTTATCCACTATTTTTATTATTTTATCATTTTTATTCAGTCATGTTCCCTGCTCTGTCGGGAGGGCAGGATCCTTGGTATACTTGTGAGGAGCTCTGCCACTGTTTGCATTAGGACTCGTTTCTTCTCCACTTCCGATTCCTTTTCCTCTGGATTAAGGACTTGTTTCAGTGACTAGACTCTATGCTATATTACGCAGCTCCTCCATTATTGTGCTACTTAATATAATGAAGACAAGGAAAAGGAGCAGATCTCTCACTGACCCGGTTCCTCAACCTTCTCTGAAGCAATCCAAGATTGAGGACTTTGTTTTAGCTCGGCCTCTCGGTTTGAAAGCTCCTGCTCACTTTTGTCTGGCTGCTGCCAGTTGTTGCGATCTTCTGACGGTTGAGTGCGTCGCCCCCTGAGTTGAGAACAAAGGCTTATCTAAAACTACAGGCCCCAACCAATCCTTAAATGAGCCCACCCTTACAGAACTTTTGGCTCAGCAATGTTTCTTGGTCGCAGAAACTACAGCGAGCATTCAGCTCCAGGTTGATAAAATAATAAGTACTTTAAACTACTTAGTTTCCTGGACTACCAGTGGGTGCCCTGGGTTGACCGCTCGGCAGCCTGGTTCTCCCTGCCAAGCCTCAGCAAAAGCACTGGCCAACATAATCCTACCAATAGTTCGAACTTTACATCTTTTGACGCAAACAGTCACCTGGTCTTACAGTCGAAACAGGTGGCCCTCATCATTAATCCCATTAATGGCAACTTTCCTCACTGGTATTCAACACAGCTGGCGAAGGGCCATATATTACAGTTATTGGGGCTAAAAGCTGATGATTTGAAGAAGATTTAACTTTTACCGTCTCCTGAACACTGCACTAGAGTGCTACTCAGTTTTGACAACTCTAATACCCCAAAACTATTTTTCAGAAGAGGATCCCTGTTAAGATCCTTTGGCATTCTGCCAAGAAGAGTCTTCAAATATATGTCAATTAAGCCACTCTTGAGTAATCAACAATTTGTGAGTGGCAGGAGATTTATTGCCCCCCAAAGATCCTCAGCAGCACATATTCATGTGCCAACCTTGAATGCCATCTTGGATACTACATCACATACTAATTATACACCTATTCCCACAAAACCTCCAGTTGGCGTCCTCTCAGATGGTAGCCTGACTGTTCCTCCTACAACCGGTCAAATCAACCCCCTGCAGCGAGTAACATCTTACCAGGAAGCTTCCCTTGACTTGATCAGCTGGGAAGAAATGGCCCCAAAGGAAGCGACACCAGCCTAGGGCACCCATGGTACCTTAGTAAATAAGCCCCAGGTCAGTGCCTCTGGGATTCCATTTATTTATGAAACTGACTTATGTCAAGACAATTTCTGGAACCAGGAGGAGACACAGCTCTTCGACTCCTTTTGTGCGCTTCCACAACCAGAAAGGGCCCAAATCATAAAGTGTCTGGATGCAGTTAAATTCAAGCTCTGGAGTCTTTCACTACCTGATAAGGATTCCCTTGGACTCCAGAGAGTCTATACTGATTTACCAATGGAAGCTCCCTTGGCGCTCTCTCCAGAATGTCTAATTCGTAAATTTGAAGATCCAGGGCTACTTCAAACTCCGTCTGTTGATGCTGCTGAATACTTGCCAGCTAAGCAACCAATTAATGCCACAAGTACGAACTGGAGTGCGCTTAGAGCCCTACAGCCCCATGAACAAGGCTTGCCTCCCCTCCCCCCTTCCCTGCCTTTGCCTCCTAAGAGGATGACCCTGACACTTAACAATGGGTGTATCTTTTCGGATCCGAAGGGCACTCTGGGAAAAATTAATCACACAGAATGACTATTAAGTCTGGCAAAAAAAAACCTGCACACTTAAGTGCCTTTCGTGGAACATAGCAGGTTGGGAAAGAAGGTGTGGTACCACAGAATTCGCCAACTATATTCACTTATTTGATGTGGTCCTGCTTCAGGAGACCTGGGCATGCAATAAGATATCCCTTACAGGGTTTACGGTCATTTCCTTGGCCGCCACCAGACAATCTAGGACAGGAAGGCCTAAGGGTGGTCTAGCTTGCTTGGTCTCTACTGCTTTGAAAGTGGGCACAGTGGAGCTGCCCTGCCCGTGGCTCTTTAGCTATGGTGCTCCTAATTAAGAGAGGACGCAGCAAACTGTTACTGTTCAATGTTTATCTTCCCCCGATGAGGCAAGCTAAGGCTCAATGGGGCGTGCTGGAGAATTACATTACTTGTATATAAACTAAATTCCCAGTGCTGTACATCCTTATAGGGGACGACTTTAATGCCCAATTGGGAGTCCAAGTTCCCCCATCGATTGAGGCACTCTACTCCCAAGAAACCCTCCAGGCCATAGGACACCTGATTTCAGCCAGACATTCTAAGGATGAATTAACAAATTTTGCTGGCATTCAGTTAGCCCTTTTAGCAGCCCAACACAATAAGATAATTCTTAATGGGAGTACCCAAGGTGATCTAGCTGGTGAGTTTACTTTTAGTTCCTCACGTGTTATTGATTTTGTGCTGGTATCCCAGCTTCTTAGAAAGGCAGTCCGTGCTTTTTATGTGGACTACCTTACGGAGAGCAACCACTACCCCCTGGTTACAATCATCGGGCTTTCCTCAAATATACATCTCCCTAGGGGTCCCCAGATATTAGATCCCTATGTGGTCTCATATACAAGGAGGATCAAGTGGTCTTCTAATACTGAAAGAAAGCTCCACTCCTTTTTATCATCTCCGGAGTGTCTCAGCCTATACAATCAGGCCCTAACAAGTAGTGGCCCAGGGACAATCTTGGCCTTTGAATCACTAATTAATAGTGTTCAAAGGGAGCTAGGAGCTGTCCGTAGGCTGAGTGGTCCATATAATTCAAGAAACAATTCTTGGTTTGACAAAGTGTCTGATGCTCAGGAACCAGATTAATCGGGTTTACCTGCTCTATCGTAATCGAGGGGATAAATGCCCACCAGAGGACTACTATCACTTGAAGCGGGAGTATAAAGGACTAATTGCTAAGAAAAAAAAAAGCTAAAGAGAAAGAGAAGTGGGCTCTACTTCTCATCTCCATCCAGCAGAAGAACACTCGATTATTTTGGCAAATTGTTGCCAGCTCCTTGCTGGGTCATCAAGAACTCCCTCTCTGCTGTATTTCCAACAGAGATTGGGAAAATCATTTCTTGGCAATTTTCCAGGCATCAACAAGTTTGACCGTGCTGGGGCCACAGCTGCCTCCTGCAGTTCCTGACTGGCAACCTGTGGCTCATGCTGAGATTACCGAGCTTATCTCCGAACTCAAGTCAGGCAAAGCTCCTGGCTCTGATGCTATACCCCCTGATCTGTTAAAATCCAATCCCGAGTGGTGGATCTTCATGGATATCAATACCTCTGGCAGGATCCCTACCTCCTGGAGCTTAGCAATTATTGTTCCAGTTTTTAAACGAGGAAATAGGAACAATCCAGCCAACTATCGCCCCGTAAGCCTGCTCTCCATCATTGGGAAACTGTATGCTAAATATCTCCAATGTAGACTCCTCACCAATATTATTGGTGCTGAACAGATTGGGTTTAAAGCGGGCTGTGCCACACTGGACCACTGCTTTGTCTTAGTACACCTGGTCGATAAATATACTACCATTCCAGGTGGCAAACTTTTTACTGCTTTTATCGACCTAGAGTCAGCATTTGACTCAGTCCCTAGGGGACTGTTGTGGTCAAAACTGCTCAAAAGTTCTATCGATAGACGTCTTCTGTTCCTAATTAGATCCTTGTACAACCAGACCTCTAGTCAGGTCAGGTGTGGTCTGCAGGGAGAACTTTCAAATCCTATCCCGATTAAGAATGGAGTAAGGCAGGGTTGTGTTCTGGCTCCTCTTTTGTTTAATTTATTCTTATCTGACTTGGCCTTTCACATTGAACATATTGAGTCCCACACCCCAAAGTTGTCAATTACAAAGATCCCGCTTCTCCTTTATGCTGACGACGCAGCCCTCCTTTCATTGTCAAGGCCAGGTCTGAAAAAATTACTTTCTGCATTCGGGTCCTACTGTGCTGAGAACCACTTGTCTATTAATTACGACAAATCCAAAGTATTGGTGTTCTCTAGAGCTCGGAAATTGTATAACTGGGCTATCAATGGTAATGCCGTTAAGCAGGTTTTTTCCATTTTAAGTATTTAGGTATTCAATTTCAGAACACCGGTGCTTGGACTAGACATC